TGACAATATAAAAGGCAGAAGAAGCGAATGTACCAAGCATAGATTATAAAAAAAAATGATTTAAAATAACCCTACGACAAAAATAGCACCAACCAAAAGAAACAGAAAATGTGCAAAAATTAAAAAACTTAACCATAAAGCGAATGATTGGTATAAAGTCGAGAGAAAAGAGAGTAGATAAAAGTTATAAAAGATAAAAAGAGAAATCTAAAACTGAGAAACTATCAAAAAAAAAAACTGTAAGCGAAACGAAAAAGCGAACGTTTAAAACGAAGGGGAATAATATCGTGAGACTCTTAGAGCGACCTTGGTGGATGTATGCGGCAGCTTGAACAAGCTTACACATTTGTAATCCATTTGCATACACATCCAACCATAAAGATGCCGTCTGCGTGCGCGTAAAAGCAGGAGAAATAGGAAGAGAAAAAGAGCGAAACATAGAGAGAAATCTCCATATTCACAAACGGGCTTCTTTTTCGGGAGCGGATGGATTTTTTTTTTTGTTTTTTTTGATGATGTAGGCGCGAGGAACACTTAAAAATATAAAGATATAGAATAACGGTGGATAAATTTACGGTGAGAGAGGGAAGAGAGAGAGAGAGAGAGAGAGTGAAATCGGGAGATCTGCTCTTGGAAAATGTGAGACACAAAGCCGACTAGTTCCTCCGACTTTAAATGACATGATATTATTTCTGTCTTCATTTTGCCCATTTATTTATTTCAATAGGCGTTCGCGCATGCGTAATTTGAACGGAGAAAAAGATTGGAAAATGTTGCAAAAGATGTCTCCAATCGCACATCGATTTGTGCGCCATACTGTAGATGACACAAAAGAACTTACTGGTTTCTACCATATAATTATTTTATCTGTCTATCTACCTATCTATCCATTACATTTTATCTATCTCTCTACCTCTCTCACACTATCTATCTATTTATTTATTTGCTATTTATTACCGTCTGTTGATACAGTAATTTTCCAAGCGTAGCTTAGATGTGGCACAAAGTCGAAAGTATGGGACACCCAGTGAGAATCGAACTCACTATTCAGTCGTAATTGTTCTAGCGAGACAAGCTTGCTAACCATTACACCACCTCGAGGTGCCCTACCGTCAGTTGATATATATTGCAGTCAGTTCATATCTATCTATCTATCTATCTATCTATCTATCTATCTATCTATCTATCTATCTATCTATCTATCTATCTATCTATCTATCTATCTCAGTGTATTCATATTTATCTATCTATCCAATCTTTAGGCAATTAAGTAGCATAATAGAATCTGCTCGTATATGACCGGTGTTCGAACCCATGTAGCAGCTAGTATTTCAAGCCCTGATTTTTAAAGCTAGTTTGACTCCCCCACCCCAACATACACACACGCACACACATACATACCTCCGCTTTTATTGTTGACCGCTTACTACAACAAACTCTTTCAACACACATAACATTCAGGACTGGTAAATTCATTCAGGATCTGGTAAATTCTATAATACCTACACGTCGTCAAAATCTGCATGAACTTCTGTATATTATATTCTCTGTAATACTTTTTTATTTCCCCCCTGTATTTTTGGAAATTTTTTCTTCAGGCTTTTTATGATGTTCCAGTTTATGTACTTTTCATTTACTTTGCGAATTTCGCTTTTTCTCTTTCTTCTTGCGCTTACAGAAAATAGAATTACTTCTTTTTTTATTATTATTATTTCTTTGCAGCAATCGACACACGGCCACATTTTATTTAGACCCCCCCCCCTCAGAAGAGAACAAGTATATATTATCTCCTTCTCCACTGTAGGCCGTTGGTGTCTATCTAATGATCTACCAACATCCGATCATATCTGTTTCACTATGCTTTCTTTACATATATATATGTATTCAAGTGTGAATCAGGAAACAACTGAGTCTTAAAATAATGTTTTTCGAGGGTCATAACCGAAATAAAAGGTAGTACGTGTATATCTATAGTGACACCATGAGTAAAGTGGTTTTGACATTCCGTAAGATTAGAAAGAATTAAATGTCAAAGACGGATGAAAATTCCGCATAGCACATTGGCGTAAACTGGACTCCATCGATGCCGATGCGGTTATGACACATTTATGTAATAGCCTAAATTAGATAGATAGATAGATAGATAGATAGATAGATAGATAGATAGATAGCTATAAATATTCTGAGATAGATATGAATATATTGTGACAGATATGAATAGATTGTGACAGATAGATAGATATATATAAATTTTCTGCGTTGAGGGCATCTTATACTGAAGTCGCTCCCCAAGCGGAGGCTTCCTCCGATGGCATGAATGACCACGTATCAGTGAGCAATGCTATCCTTCAATTTGGAGGACCACGTCCCTATTTTCACCTGGACAACACACACACACACACATATATATATATCATTGTAATTTTTGTTTGTCTACGTTGATATATTTTTCAGTCAGAATACGCCTGATCTATGTACACTATTTAAATTGTTCGAACTATTGTCCGCATTTTTTTGTCATAATCAAGACGTTTGAGTTTTTTTAATGATATATTATATATATATATATATATATATATATATATATATATATATATATATATATATATATATATATATATATATATATGACAATAGGAAAACTTGTAATTGCTGACGCGTTTCGTTCAATGTGGACTTTATCAAAGCAAAATAGCAATTACCAGTTTTCCTATTGTCATTTTTATTATAAATATTGTCTTCTCTACTGGTTAAATCAGAGAATTTTTTACATATATATATATATATATATATATATATATATATATATATATATATATATATATATATATATATGTTGTGTGTGTGTGTGTGTGTGCATGATCGCTTATATATGCCTTTCGTTGTATGTATATGTTATCTGGGCTTTTTTAAGGGTCGTGGACATCTATTTCGTGTTTTTGCGTGTTTATATATCTGAATATGTCTATGTGTTTGTATATTATAATCTGATTGTGTATGTATTGTCTTTTGCAAGAGTTCATCCTCCCCTGCCCACGTCACTATTTCAAATGTATCGAAGTTGTAACGAAGCTTTACTTCATCATTTGATTTTAACAATTATTCTTAGTTTTGGGGATTTCAATTAAAACAAAATAAATAACAAAATATATATATTTTTTTCCTCAGTTTCTACTTTAAATAAATTTATAATATATTGAATTTAATACAGCTTAAATTTAAAATTTAAAATTGGTAATTTTTAATGTTTAATTTTCAATTTTATAGTAAAATTTAATATTAATTAGTTAGAATGGTTTCCATTTTAGTCTAAGCCTAACATTAAAATCATTAATTAGTATAACCAAGGTTCATTGTCAAGTTTTTTGAATTCTCATCTACTTGTATTTTGATTGGTCATTGCAGCTTATGTAATAGTGTTTTCCCTTGAGAGGGGTGTTTGGTCGATTTGAACCTTTTAAAACTCTGTATTCTACATTCAACACCATCACTTCATAAGACACCAGAAGTATTGAAACAAAATGGCTATTCTTGTAGTGATTTTATAACGTATTTATGTTATAATTTTCGAATAAATTATATATATATGTGTGTGTGTGTGTGTGTGTGTGTGTGTGTGTGTGTGTGCGTGTGTGTGTACCCGCATGTGTATGTTTTTTGTTTACATTACCTAATTATACTTTCAGTTTGTATCGGCCATTTTCAATAAACTTGAGGTACTTTCTTTTACTTCGTCTATCAAACGTTTTAAAAGATGTGTCTTAATCGGCTGGCGCTGCAACATTTATCAGATGGTAGGCAATTTAAATATGAGTTTTCACTGTTATATCTGTTCGATTTTTTTTTTTTTTTTGGATATTCTTATCAATCTCAAAGCGAAAATGCTATAGATCAGTGTATGTACGGAGCAAGTCTATCATGTTGCAAGTACGATGATTGTGCTAGTCGGGTACATCCAGAAATGTGATCAATTACTTCCAGAAATTCTCCACATACACAGCAGAATACGTTGCTGTTACGTTTCAAGACATTTCATTAATAGTTCTTGGTTAAAAGCCAGATACAGGCATACTTCAGCTTCTGTTTAGGGACCAGCGTCTGCCAGTCACTGATGAGTAAATGTTTGATCTACATAAAAATCACTGACTCTGGTAGGATATTTGACGTGAAGAGAATCTCTGTTCTCCTCTTTCTCTCTCTTTATCTCTCTCTCTCTCTTTTTCTCTCTCTCTTTAGGCCGATTTGTTTTATTGAATTTTTTATTTCTTTTGCTTTTTTTCATTTGGGGACGAATTCACTTCACGTTCTGGTTCCTTTGGTTACATTTCCTGAAGATATGAATTTATTGTGTTTTGTCACAAATTATAGTTTTCTTTCTATTCTGGTGTATCAGAACCAGTTTTAACATGTTGATTGTTTGCTGCAGTTAAGCAAAAACCCCATATTTGCAGTTTCCAGTGATAAATGTAGTTGACGTAATCACCGGCGAATTCCTCTTGGAAAGTGCAATCGGTCAGTGTCTGATTTTAGTTTGTGCATGCGATGCATTGTGAGAAGCTCTCGTATTTTGGCATTTGGAAGATAGATTTGTTAATAATGTTGAAGCTGTATGTGATCGTAGACATGGGTAGTGAGTTTGTGTCTTCAAATTTGTTTTTGACATTCAACTCTTTCAAGAATCACTCTTACTCTGCGAGAATAATCCTCTTGTAATTTTTCTTCCATTAATGTTTGTTTAATTTCCTCGCCTTCAGAAACACCTAACTACTTATAACTCGTGTCATGTTCTAATTCTTGTATATATCAGTATCTCTAATTAGAGTAATAATGTGTACACTTGATATTTTTCCCTTGCGAAATGTAGCCTTGAAGTCAAATTTTACACGATTATTATTATTATTATTATTCCTTTGATATCTGGTGTAAACTCATTTCTTTCCGGGTCTCAACCAGAGACCTAAGGTCAGAAATGTCATCATTTTTCACTGATCATTTTTGAAAAAGACAAAGCCCTTCGTAAGGTGTGGGCTGTACTTGTGAGAATAAATTTTTTGTATTTCTTTAAGGCATGGTCTACCAGGAATCCTTTCAGTGAGTCTATTGGAATCATTTCCAATCAATCCGAGGACTCCAACTAAAACTGCATTTGTTGATGTCCGCATCTGCCACATTTTTGAGATTTCGATTTTAAGGTCCTTGTATTTTGATAGTTTGTTGAAGATCTTCAATAACACATTACAGTCTACAGGGACTGCCATGTCAATAAGAAGGCACCTTTTTTGTGTTTGCTGTCTCTAATAACGATGTATGGACTGTTAGCTTTGATTTTTTTCCTGCCTGTGTGTATTGTTAAATCCAATAAAATTGTTACAGGTCCCCTCTCCGTAACGGGGCCTGTGTGATGTCCATATCAATTACTTGCAGTTTCCGTAAAAGCTGCATATTTCTCAGTGCAGATATTAGTCCACACTATCATGTCGGGTTTTATATTCAGTGGGTGCCAATACCGTGCAACAAAATGGCCAATTGTTTCTAGTTAGTTATCACAGAATCTGCATTTTGGGATAACATTGTTTTTCAGTATGTTTGCTTGGTAAATTCTAGTTATCAATCATTGGTGCTGTAAAGCAATAATAATAATAATAATAATAATAATAATAATAATAATAATAATGGTATGAACACCACCCAAACCCGGTTACGGAGATAGGACCTGTTACAATTCTATGGGAATTACACAATACACACTGACAGAACAATCAAAGCCAATCGCCCAGACATTGTTATTAGAGACAAACAAAAACAGTTCCTCCTTATTGATATGGCAGTCCTTGCTGACTGCAACGTATCTTTGAATATATTCAAAAAGCTGTCAAAATACAAGGACCTTGAAATAGAAATCTCGAAAATGTGGCATATGGGAACATCAACAATCCCTGTTGTAGTTGGAGCCCTAGGACTGGTTAGAAAAGATTCCAGTAGACTAATTGAAGGGATTCCTGGAACTCCATGCCTCAAGGAGATACAAAAAATTGTTCTGACAAGTACAGCCCACACTTTACCAAGGGCTTTATCTATGTAATATTTTTTTTTGTCAGTGGAAAGTGTCATGATGCCATTTCTAACCTTAGGTCCTCAAGGGAAAAAAAAAAAAAACGCCAGAAATCAAAGAAAAAATCAAAGAATAATAATAATAATAATAATAATAATAATAATAATAATAATTCTGCTTTTTACTCCGTAACTTAGTTAATAGGTGCATTCCACTCATTACTAGCTTATTTGTGTACCGCCCACAAATATTTGTTTATCGGAGCAGCGGACTGAGTAACTCGTTCGGTTAGCTACACTCTATGGAACATTCAAGCTCTACATATACCTCTGGTCAAAATCTTAAGACCAGATAAGAAGGGTTAAAAAAAAATTTTAAAAAATACTGTTACTTTAATCGAAATATATTTGCAAAACATTTACATTTAATTAGAAAATGTAGTTTATCAGCAAACAAGTGAGAATTTTAAGCTTTTAATTGATTTATTTAAACAAACATTGAAGAAGTTTTTTTTTTTTTTTGGTTGGTCATAAAAAATTGTAAAAAAAAATTACAGGACAAAAATTTTAAAGCTAGTGAGTGTACTCATAGCTTCAGGCATGTAGACATTTACTTAGCTCATTTCCAGCATTAAATTTCAGATTTTAAATAGGCTAAGGCCCAAATTTTAACAATGTTTGAATGGGACAGGATTGTTGAACTTCAAAGACATGGTCTTTTTCAATGAGCCATCGCAAATGAAATTAGCAGAACTGTCATTACTAACTTCATTAAAAATCCAAATGCGTCTGTTTCTAAAAAATCAAGTGGTCGCCCTAATTATCTCACCATCTCTAAACAGACACATTAGGTGAGAAGTTAAGAGCGATTCAAGCCTAATATTAAATCAGATAAAAGCGTATTCAGATGCTGAATACAGCTTTTGAACAATTAGACGGCATTTAAATTAGAAAGAGTTTAAGAACGTGAAACGGCGGCAGATGCTTCCCCTTCTTCCTTGCCATAAAACCTGCCGTTTAAAATTTGCTTCTGATTATCAAACTTGGGATGTGAATAAATGGAAGAAAGTGTTGTTTTCAGACGAGGAAATTTTTTTTTTAAGGTACAGACATGCAAAAGATGTCCTATAAGAAATTTTCTCAACACGATATCGTGGAGGTGGATCAATTATGGTCTGGGGTTCGTCTTTGTGCAATGGAACTCTTGAGTTATAGGATTTAAAATGTCGTCACGCAGCTGCTAGTTACATTGATATGTTAAGAAAGGCATCGCTAATTACTGAAGGCCCTTGTCTGTGTGAAGAAAATTGGATTTTCCAGCAGGACAATGCAGCAATCCACAACGCTCGAAGGTCGAAAGAGTTTTTTTTATGGAAAATAACATTCAGCTTTTGAGCTATCCACCGTGCTCTACAGATCTAAACCCAATCGAGAATATTTATGGAAGGATGGCAAAGGATGTCTATAAACATGGATCGCAATTTGAAACTGTGGATGCTCTTTGTGCTGCAGTTTATGCATCTTGGGCGAACATCCCGTGCACCCTCATGTAGAAGTTAATGAGTATGCTAAAACGAATTTTCGAAGTAATAGCCAAAAATGGAGGATATGCTGAATATTAAATTCTCGTTGTGACTTATTTGTTCTGCATTTTCTATTTTTATTTACATGGTCTTATCTTTATGACCAGCGAAAAAAAAAAGTTCAATGTTTATTTGTTTTTTTTAAATAATTAAACGCTTAAAATTTTCACTTGTTTCTTGATAATCAACATTTTCTAATTAAATGTAAATATTTTGCAAATATATGTCAATTAAAGTAACAGTATTTTATATTTATTTAAACCCTTTTGTATCAATGCCGGCGCGCGTTTAACGTCTGTTTCATTGAAACAGTATAATAATACGAAATATACCAAGCAGAAATTCGGTAATATATATTATCAAGAACTATGGAATTTTCATGGGTTCAGCTCTAAATGATTTCAGAAAATATGTGTTACAAAAATCGATTTGAAAAATACTGATGCATTAAATTACTGTTTTTGCAGTTCTGCTACCTATTTCGTATAAAGAACTTGTTTTTCAATAGCTAGGTAAAGTGTTTCTCAGTGGAAAGTATCATGATGCTATTTCTAACCTTAGGTCCAAAGGCAGGACCTTGAAAGAAATGTATCTAACCCTAACCCTGCCAGAAATCAAAGGATATAAAAAAAAAACAAAGAAAAAAAACCCAACAACAACTATTATTATTATTATTATTATCTTTGATTTCTGGCGTTTACACATTTCTTTCCGGGTCCCGCCATTTTGGCACATTTATAAACAAACGTTAATTCTCGGTTTAAAAATCTTGCAAAAATAAAAATATAAGTTTCTGAAACGTTAATTGAGGAAAATTAGAAAATTTAAATTTAAATTAATCTGAATTGAAACAAATATTACTTATTTATAGCATAAAAAGTTTTATACATCCATTTGTTAACCAAGAGCCTTGTTTTTCTGATGTATTGATCAATTTATCCTAACGTGTTGACAATTTAATATGGTAATGCAGAATTGATGATAACAGGTGATAATTTTATATGAGATTTAAGTGGGGACAATCATTGAAACACGTCACCTTTTAATAATAATGCCATGTACGAATTTGCATACTTAGAAAAATTAGGACGTTTCAACAAAAAAAATCGAAATACTTTTAACAGATATACTTTGTCGCCATATTGTAATAAGCTTTAAAAATATGATTAGTCTATATAGTTTTACTTAGTAACAATATTTTCTAAGAATGGCGCCATTGAAACTGAATTTTAAAAGATTTAAAAACTTTATAAATTATTCACTTCATTATGAAAAGAATTTATAAAAATTCATGTTTCAAAGTAATTTTTTCTGACAATATTGACTTTAATATATATTGTTCGTAAAAGTAGTGAAAAGGTTCTCTAATTAAATAATGTCTTAGTTTATATGGTGTCTTTTTTTTTCTTTTTCCATTCAGAACAGATATCGATAAGACGGGTTCCAGTTTCGAAAAAGACATTCGTTGATTTAAATTCTTCAAAGAATTCTGCTTTTAACTAATATAGTCACAAAAAATCTCGTTGAATTTTTATAAAATTAAATAAATGGCGAACCACACGTAAAAAATATTTTTTAATAAAACATTCAAAAAATAATTTCATTCATTTGCGAATGTCATGAAAATTTCAGTAAAATCTGAGAATTATTTGATTTTTTCCTAGAATTTTCAAATTAATGTGTTTGTAACAGCAAAAAAAAAGACGCGACAATTAGCTATGTTAAAAGTTATTACAACCGCTGACGAAAGAAAAACAAAGTTTTTCAACAAAATTTCGAATGTTATAAAAAGGAGGAAAAAAGTTAATTTAAATATTCAAAAAAATACGTTGATCCTTCTACTTAATAACGAGATAAAAAATTTTGACGATAAAAGTGTTTTCATTACGTTTGGAGCATGGTTTCCGTCACGCTATGCTGACTTTTTAGCGATTTCGTGGAGGTACCTATATAATAAGTATATGAAATATAGCAACTTGAAATGATTAGTTTCAGTCGTTCATTTTTTTCCACATTCTTGATAAGAAATAATTGAAAGTGAGAGAAAGAGAAAAGGGGGGAAGAATAGTAAGAGAGGGGGGGACCGGAAGAAAGACTAAATAGTGAGACATGGGCAAAGAATAAAGACAGAAGGAGGGGCAATAAATAGAGAGATAGAGGAGAGGAAGAATAAAAAAAGATTTAGAGGTGCGAAGAATTGATAGGGAGGAGGGAAAGAATAAAGAGTGAAATAGAGGAAGGGAAGAATATCAAGAGAGGGAGAGAGGGGGAGGAAGGACAGAGAGTGAGAGAAAGAGCGGAGGGGAAGAATAGAGGGAGATAAAGAGGGATACTGGAAATAATAAAGAGAGCGATAGAGGAGGGGAATAATAAAGAGCGGGAGAGAGAAAAGGTAGAATAAAGAGAGGGAGAGAGAAGAGGAAGAATAAAGAGAGAGAGAGGGGGAGCGAGGGAAGGAAAGTGCAGTTGAGATATATCTTTTTTTTAAGGGTACTTAAGATTCCTGGGAGTTATTGCTGCCATAATAAGGTGCAGGTGGAGGCAATAAAAAAGGGTCTGGCTTATATCATCCAAGCACGCACCTGCATCTTTTTCGGTGTTTTTTTTTTTTTTAAGGATTAAAGATGTATGCGGTATTTTCTGAAGATTTTTTTTTTTGAATGATACACATAAATGTTGCTTGAGGTAATCTTTCATCGCATCTTGTATCCGCGATTGTATTTGCTTGGGTTTGGTTTGGTTTGCTCTGTTTAACAGCATATCAGCCTCAATGGATTATATAATGCCGACAATTTTTATTGCTGGTAATATTTTTTGTTCAAAAATATATTGCTGGTAATAATGTATTGCTGGTAATAAATTTTTTTACAAAGTATTTCTGGTATTAAGACCTTATTTTTTACACTTTCATAATATTTTGACTCCAGTTTGGGGTTAACTATTTGCCCATAGCTGGGACCCTAACAAATTCTACCACCTCGCAATTAAAAAGTAGTTCCACTCTTCTTAAAACCTCCTGATCAGATGCCTTGCTGCTGAACGTAGTTTATCGTCTTACACAGGAGGCGGACGTACTTTATCGTCTTACCCAGAACGCGGACTTAGTTTATCATCTTACCCAGGACGCGGACTTAGTTTATCATCTTACCAAGGATGCGGACGTAGTTTATCGTCTTACCAAGGATGCGGACGTAGTTTATCATCTTACCCAGGACGCGGACTTAGTTTATCGTCTCACCCAGAACGCGGACTTAGTTTATCACCTTACCCAGGATGCGGACGTAGTTTATCGTCTTACCCAGGACGTGGACGTAGTTTATCATCTTACCCAGGACGCGGATGTAGTTTATCGTCTTACACAGGATGCAGAAGTAGTTTATCGTCTTACCCAGGACGCGGACGTAGTTTATCATCTTACCCAGGATGCGGACGTAGTTTATCATCTTACCCAGGATGCGGACTTAGTTTATCGTCATGCCCATGGCGGAGGTGTGCTTGAGTATGTTCTAGTAGTGTACGTATTCTTAATGTGTATGTGTGATTGTTTGCGTTTGATGTGCGTGGGTGAGTGGACAAAACTTTTCTGTTCGGAACATACGATCCGACTTCAAACCCTAATTTGTAACATAGGAGGTGACATCTTGGCAACATTCCATCAGGGACGTGCCTGAAAAACGTACCACAGAGTTGACTCGAACCTTTTGAGTATAATTAGAGATCTGAAGCTGTTTATCAATCGTCGATGGTAGTCCTGGCACGTGGTTACAAGTCAGCGTGACCGAGGTTTTTAGCGTACTGGCCGTATTCAACTACTGATGACCTCATATATAAATTCCAGTTAGCATAGTTATATTATGAACCACTGATTGACTTTGTGGGTGTTTTAGAAACACAAATGTGACTGAGCATGCGCCTGCAACTGCACATATCTAACTGCACTTCTTGACGGATATGGTCTAAAACAAGCAATCAGTAATAATACATGCACACACACACACACACACACACACACATACACACACACATATATATATATATATATATATATATATATATGTGTGTGTGTGTGTGTTTGTTTGTGTTCTGCGTTTACTACAGATGTAAACGAAATCAATTGAACAGTATAAAAATAAATGATAGTTTTGCTTTTGGAAGCATGATGACTGTAGGGGAGGTCGAAGAGGGCTTGTGTGTTTTGGTTCTACTCTTTAATCAAACGAAGAAAATCCTGTGTTGAATTAATCTTAGAGCAGTAGCCGTCCGAGCTGGTTCTCCTGGGCATTTCAACGCAACATCGTTTTCAAGATTAGAAATGCATCTTTTAACCGACTATAGATTATTAACCGAATTTTGACGAGGGCTATTATTAACCGGTTCTTGTTCTTGATAAAGAAAAATGTCTTTTTTATCCATTCCATATAAATTTCAAATGCTTACTGAAAAATTCTATTTGATTCTGTCTTGTACATCTCCGAAAATCTGAGAATTAAGCTTTGAGGATGCGAGACCTTGGGTAAATAAATTTAAAATCATATTCGGATATAAAAGAAAGAAAGAAAGAAAGAAAGAAAGAAAGAAAGATTAAACTAGTAAGAGAAGAAAGTGTCAAGGTCTGAAAAAGAGAGGTAGGGAGCGAGTAGAAAACAAATCGTTGTACTCAAACAAAAAATCCAAAAATAATAAAAGCGGGAAAGAAAGAAAGAAAGAAAGAAAGAAAGAAAGAAAGAAAGAAAGAAAGAAAGAAAGAAAGATTAAACTAGTAAGAGAAGAAAGTGCCAAGGTCTGAAAAAGAGAGGAAGGGAGGGGAAAACAAAAAGTTGTACTCAAACAAAAAATCCAAAAATAATAAAAAAAGAAAAAGAAAGAAAAGAAAAGAAAGAAAGAAAGAAAGAAAAGAAAGAAAGAAACAAACAAACAAACAAACAAAAAACAAACAAACAAACAAAGAAAAACAAACAATAGATGAATAAGAAGAAAGCGAGAAAGGGAAGAGAAAGAAAGAAAAAAAAGAAAAAAGAAAGGATAAACAAGAAAAAGAGAAAAAAAGCTAAAAAAGGAGGAAGAACGGAATAAAATAATTAAGGCGAACAATTAATTAATCACTCAATAAAGAAAGAAAGAAAGAAAGAAAGAAAGAAAGAAAGAAAGAAAGAAAGAAAAAGAAAAGAAAAGAAGAGAAAGAAAGAAAGAAAGATGATAAACAAGAAAAAAGTACTAAAAAAGGTAAAAGGAATAAAAAAAAGAAAAATGAAAGCGATTTAAAAAAGAACAAGAGGATGGAAAATAAAGACAAAATCAAAATAAAACGTCCCACAGAAAAAAGAAATAAAAGAAGATTTAGAAAAGAAGTATTAATGAATGAAAGAAATAATTAATGACAGAAAGAAAGAATTAATAAAATAAAAATTAATGAAAGAAAAGAAAGAAAGAATTCATCAAAGAATTAATAAATCAAAGAATTAATGAAAGAAAGAAAGAAAAGAAAAAAAAAGAAAAGAATGAAAGAAAGAAAAGAAAGAATTAATGAAAGAAAAAAGAAAGAAAGAATTAAGAAAAGAAAATAAATAATTAATAAAAGAAAGAAATAAAGAATTAAGGAAAGAATTAAGAGAGAAATGAAAAGAACGAAAACAGAAAAAAAAGATGAGAATTCAAGAACGATTAAAAAAGAATAAATGAAAGAAAGAATTACTGTAAAGAAAGAAAAAGGAATCAAAGAAATAAAGAAAGAATTAAAATGTAGGAAAAAGGAATAAATGAAAGAAAAAAAGAAAGAAAGAATAAAAAATTGAAAAGAAGGTAAGAAAAAAGGAAAGAGAGAATAAAGAAAGAAAGAAAGAAAGAAAAAGGAATTTCAAAGAAATAAAGAAAAAAACACGAAAGAATTGAAAGAATAAATGAAAGAAAGAATTTAAGAAAAAGGAAAATCAAAGAAATAACAAAGAATTAAGGTAAGAAAAATTAAGGAAAGAGAGAATAAATGAAAAAAGTGAAAGAAAGAAAAAGGAATTAATCAAAGAAATAAAGAAAGAATTAAGGTAAGAAAAATTAAGGAAAAGAGAGAATAAATGAAAGAAAGAATTACTGAAAGAAAGAAAAAGGAATTAATCAAAGAAATAAAGAAAGAATTAAGGTAAGAAAGAAAAGGAAAAAGAGAGAATAAATGAAAGAAAAGAATTACTGAAAGAAAGAAGAAAGAAAAGAAAGGAAAGAAGAAAATAAAAAAAGAAAAGAATTAATGAAAGAAAAAAAAAGAATTAATGAAAGAAAATAAAGAAAGAATTAATGAAAGAAAAGAAAGAGAATTGAAAGAAAGAATTACTGAAAGAAAGAAAAAAAAATTTAATAAGGAAAAGAATAAAGAAAGAATTAAAAGAAAAAAAAAGGAATTAATAAAAGAAAAAAGAAAGAATTAAGGAAAGAAGGAAAAAATTAAAGAAAAAAGGAATTAATAAAAAAGAAATAAAAAAGAAAAGAAAGAATAAGGAAAGAGAGAATAAATGAAAGAAAGAAATGAAAGAAAAGAAAAAAGAATTAATGAAAGAATTAAAGAAAGAATTAAGAGAGAATAAATGAAAGAAAGAAAGAAAGAAAGAAAAGAAAAAGGAATAAATAAAAGAATTAAGGAAAGAGAGATAAATGAAAGAAAGAATTAAAAGAAAGAAAAAGAATTAATCAAAGAATGAAAGAAAGAATTAAAAAAGAATTAAGGAAAAGAGAATAAATGAAAGAAAGAATTACTGAAAGAAAGAAAAAAAGGAATTAATCAAAGAAATAAAGAAAGAATTAAGGTAAGAAAGAATTAAGGAAAGAGAGAATAAATGAAAGAAACTGAAAAAAGAAAAAGGAATTACTGTAAGAAAGAATTAAAAAGAATAAATGAAAGAAAGAATTACTGAAAAGAAAAAGAAAATAAAAGAAATAAAGAAAGAATTAAGGTAAGAAAGAATTAAGGAAAGAAAGAATAGAAAATGAAAGAAAGAATTACTGAAAGAAAGAAAAAAGGAATTAATCAAAGAAATAAAGAAAGAATTAAGGTAAGAAAGAATTAAGGAAAGAGAGAATAAATGAAAGAAAGAATTACTGAAAGAAAGAAAAAAGGAATTAATCAAAGAAATAAAGAAAGAATTAAGGTAAGAAAGAATTAAGGAAAGAGAGAATAAATGAAAGAAAGAATTACTGAAAGAAAGAAAAAAGGAATTAATCAAAAAGAAAGAAAGAAAAGAAAGAATTAAGGAAAGAGAGAATAAATGAAAGAAAGAATTACTGAAAGAAAGAAAAAGGAGAATCAAAGAAATAAAGAAAGAATTAAAAGAATTAAGAGAGAAGAAAGAAAAAAGGAAAAAAAAGGAATTAATCAAAGAATTAAAAAAGAAAAGAATTGAAAGAAAGAAAGAAAAGAATTAAGGAAAAGAGAAAGAATAAATAAATGAAAGAAAGAATTACTGAAAGAAAGAAAAAAAAGGAATTAATAAAAGAAATAAAGAAAGAATTAAGGTAAGAAAGAATTAAGGAAAAGAATAAATGAAAGAAAGAATTACTGAAAGAAAGAAATTAAAAAAAGAATTAAAGAAATAAAGAAAGAATTAAGAAAGAATTAAAGAGAATAAATGAAAGAAAGAATTACTGAAAGAAAGAAAAAAGAAAGAAAAAAGGAATTAATCAAAAAAAAGGAATTAATAAAAAGAAATAAAGAAAGAATTAAGGAAAGAATGAAAGAAAAAAAAGGAATTAATAAAAGAAATAAAGAAAGAATTAAGGTAAGAAAGAATTAAGGAAAGAGAGAAAGAATTACTGAAAGAAAGAAAAAAGGAATTAATCAAAGAAATAAAGAAAGAATTAAGGTAAGAAAGAATTAAGGAAAGAGAGAATAAATGAAAGAAAGAATTACTGAAAGAAAGAAAAAAGGAATTAATAAAAGAAATAAAGAAAGAATTAAGGTAAGAAAGAATTAAGGAAAGAGAGAATAAATGAAAGAAAGAATTACTGAAAGAAAGAAAAAAGGAATTAATAAAAGAAATAAAGAAAGAATTAAGGAAAGAATTTAGGTAAGAAAGAAGAAGGAAAGAGAGGAAAGAAATAAAAGAAAAAAAAAGAATTAATGAAAAGAAAGAAAAAGGAATTAATAAAAAGAAATAAAGAAAGAATTTGAAAGAAAGAAAAAGGTAAGAAATAAAAAAGAATTAAGGAAAGAGAGAATAAATGAAAGAAAGAATTACTGAAAAGAAAGAAAAAGGAATTAATAAAAGAAATAAAGAAAGAATTAAGGTAAGAAAAAGAATTAAGGAAAGAGAGAATAAATGAAAGAAAGAATTACTGAAAGAAAGAAAAAAGGAATTAATCAAAGAAATAAAGAAAGAATTAAGGTAAGAAAGAATTAAGGAAAGAGAGAATAAATGAAAGAAAGAATTACTGTAAGAAAAAAAAAGGAATTAATAAAAGAAATAAAGAAAGAATTAAGGTAAGAAAGAATTAAGGAAAAGAGAATAAATGAAAGAAAGAATTGAAAAAGAAAGAAAAAAAAGGAATTAATAAAAAGAAATAAAGAAAGAATTAAGGTAAGAAAGAATTAAGAAAGAGAGAATAAAATGAAAGAAAAATTACTGAAAGAAAGAAAAAAGGAATTAATCAAAGAAATAAAGAAAGAAAGAAAGAATTACTGAATAAAGAAAGAAAGAAACTGTAAGGAATTAATAAAAGAAATAAAGAACCAAGAAAAGAAATGAAAGAAAGAAAAAAGGAATTAATAAAAGAAATAACGAAAGAGAGAATAAAAAAAAATACGGAGTTATGGCTACAAGCAGATCTCGTTTTTGGCGTTATCTCCTCAAACGTTAATACGAACGCTGTCCATACGGGAAATCATTAGAGAACCAAATGTACATGCATTAGTAGGAAATTTGTCACTGATCAATACATGGTTATGGAGTTTCCAAATCATCGCGCTCGGTTGCCTTTGAATCGTTGATTGTCAGGGAGAAGTGGTGATACTCTCCCCCGCCCACCCCTCTCTCTCTCTCTCTCTCTCTCTCTCTCTCTCTCTCTCTCTCTCTTTCATTCTTCCCCTCTTTTGGTGTTGATCATAGCACTGAGACCTACCATACTGCAACTACACGAAAAACAGAATTACATCAAGGAAATTGTCAGCATTGAAAAATAAACCCTTGTCATGCTGAGATTGTTATCTATGAGATTTTTGTTGTGAGAAACGAATTAAAAGATTTGGTGGGACATTGAAATTTCTAGCGAACATAATGAGGAAAAAAGGCTTGGAAAATGTCACACTCACAGAAGGTAAGAGGGACAAAGAAGAACAAAGCATAGCATACTTGGCGAACTTGAGTAAATGGATGGTAGTAGAAGGTTTAGGAGACATAACAAAAAGAAAAAAATTATTAAGACCTATAAAAGACAGGGCATTGTGGAGAACAACGTTCTGAAGTGACGTAGCACATAGCAAAAGATATATGTAAACGCTTTCGTAGTTGCTCTTGTTATAAAATAAAATATGACATATCTCGGCTGATTTACAGGCAAATACTCAAGAGCGAGAGCCGGATGTAAACGGGACAAAGCCTCGTCACAAAATGACCATTATCTTCGTTTACAAATGTTCCCGACACACGAGTTCCGATCGAAAAATAAAATAATATTTAAGGTGTTCTATTTTTCTTCCAATAAAAATGCTTCCCTCCTAATTATACTCGCTGCGTTTTTCGAACCTGTTAAGCAATAAAAAAAAACGCCATAAAAGGGGTCACTGAGAAGTACAACATGCAGTCAACAGGTGGCCAGGGAAGTGACCTGTCACGGTCAGGCCGAGCGGTCAGCAGCTGTCAGCAGGGGAGCGCCAGCGTCAACATGTGTGAACTACTATGAGAGATCGACCTAGATCCGAAGCCGGCTTATGAACTATACCACAAGGTAGCTGTCCCAAACCCTCACGTTCCTGTAGAAATAAATTACGTAAATCTATTTCTGCTGTTGTCGTATTTCTTTCTTGCAACCATACGCTTGTCTATAACACTCTTTCGCTTTTTAATATTTGTAAATGCTTTAACATTACCACGTTAAACTGTGGCTATTTGGAGTTGTTATTGTCTATAAATACGTAAGCTTTGTCAGTGTATATTGTGGCTATTTCGCTTTTTAGTATTTGTAAATGCTTTAACATTACCATGTTAAACTGTGGTTATTTAGAGTTGTTATTGTCTATAAATACGTAAGCTTTGTCAGTGTATATTGTGGCTATTTCGCATCTTAGTATTTGTAAATGCTTTAACATTACCACGTTAAACTGTGGCTATTTAGAGTTGTTATCTATAAATACGTAAGCACTTCAACTGCACATTGTGGCTATTTCGCTTTTTATCAGTTTTTAATGGGCAACTGTGTCACGGAATTATATAAGCGAAATAACGCTTTCATAATTCGAACAAGTATGCTCCATTCTACCCCACCACTGACCAATGAGACGCCGATGTCGTTGTGAACGGACATGTTTTTCTCATTGCTCAAAGAAAGCGATGTCGTATTTTAAAAGGGAAGACATAATTTTTTTACTCATCCATTTATTCTTATATTTTTAATATACAACAAATAAACTATATTTATTGTAGAGAGCCGTGATCGCCGACGTCTTGAAAGAACACGGCACATATAAGGTCAGGTTTTGGTTTGGTGATGAAGATGGAATACTTAGCCCATTGTAAAGGAAGAACCAACATGCCTTTTTCTATTCAACATTATGTAACTGCTCGGTCTAGAGCAAGGGTGTGCCACTCTTGACACACGTGCCAAACACGGTACACCGATGACTTGTTTCTGGCACGCAAAAGTTATCCATTAGATTGCCTTTTTATTCTTTCTCCTCTTATATCATTATCTCATATATTTTTATTTTCTACCCTTTACACATTGGGCTGAATGTAACGATCATCAGCTGACAGAATGAATGAAGAGCATATTAGAGAATTTAAAGAATACTGGACTGAAAAATTTGGCATGATTAAGAAAGACAATAAAAGCTTATGCATTTCCTGTTCCGAAACAATTGTTTGTAGGACTTCTTCTATAAAGAGACATTTTGAAAATGTTCATTAGAACTTAAACAATAAAACTGATCAGGAACAAAAAGATTTAATTTCTCGTGAATTGAGCAAGACAAAAAAACAGGCTGATACTTTAAGGAACTTTATTTCAGGTAGGCCCAGTTCCAACTTATTTGCTGCTACTTTTGAGGTTTCAAAAGTTATTTTCCAACATGGAAAGCCACAGTGATGGAGAGTATATTAAATAAGCTTTGCTAGAATTTGGGTCTTTACTTTTCTTTTTTGAAAAAATAAATGATTTCTTATCGCATTTAAGATTTGTCTGTGAACATTTAAGGATTGGATACTGAAGTTGGAAAGGAATACAGTTGAACCACTGACAAAAGATTTGTCTCCATATAATTTTGTTTCTATTTGTGCTGATTAAAGTAGTTAGACTATCCATATTTTTTCGATTTTGTAAGGGTGATAAAGTATGTGAAGTATGTTGCCCTTGTAATACGAACTGAGCGTACAACCACGAGGCTCATATATGTAAAGGAGTTGTGAACGAATTATCTGCTCGACCAATTTCACATGTCAAAAGTAGTATCTGCCACAACTGATGGTGTTCCTAGCATGACTGGTGAGAAGGCAGGATTTGTAAATCTGTTTGCCAGAAATGTTGGTCATCCACTGAAAGGTTTTTATTGCATCATACATGACGAAGATTTGTGTGCAAAAGCTGGCCTAAAGGAACTGCAAAAAATGATGCAAACAGTTACTAAGGTTAATTACATTTCCGCTCGGGCTTTACATAAAAGACATTTTTTAAATTTTAGTGAATGAGGTAGAATCTGTATATAAAAGACTTAAAATGTACGACAATGTTTGTTGGCTTAGCCGAGGTGTGGTTCTGAAACTAATTGCTGAATCTTTAAATGAAATAAAAGTATTTTTGAATGACCAACATGTATTTTACCAAGTATTGTCTGACATCATGATCTCTTTTTTCAGATATTTATGAACGTTTAAATGACTTGAATCGTAAATACAGGGTCCTGGTAAGGGACTTGATGTATGTTTGGTTACATAAAGGCTTGTTCGAATGAAACTAGACGTTTTTAAAAGGGGTGTAGATAGTGAGAGATTAGATAGTTCCCAAACCTAAAGAGGTACATCAATGATCTCTAAAAAGATGGCAGAACATACAATTAATGCCTGCAAAAGCTGTTTGCAAACATCATCAAATTAACTGTTGAGCATTTTTATACAAGATTTGATAAATTCAGAGAACTTGAAGAGACATCAAAATTCATTACATTTCCAGACAGTATGAAAAGATGAACTAAACTTGCAAGTATTTTCATGGATAGACATGAATAATTTTTTACATTCAGTTAATTTTACATGATTTACATAATTTACTACGATATTGTGCCTTTACTGCTCTGGGGTAATTATTTATCATTCAAAAAATGTTCTTCACATACTTAAACGATATCGAATAATGTTCTCAAAACATTTTGTTAGCACGTGTAAAAATTTTGTGTCAGAAAATTGTCCGGTTTTGGGATACACTCTCAAAAAGGTTGTTCCCCCTTGGTCTAGAGCTTACTCTTTCTTGATCCTAGTCTGCCTACTCTCTCATCTCGTATCTTTCTTTATCCTCTTCCCCCCTCTCTCTCTATATATATATTATATATATATATATATATATATATATATATATATATATATATATATATATATATATATATCACGATCACGAATCCCGTGTCGCATTGGGGTCGTAGGGGCACTACACGTACTGCCACCCATGCTCGGTCACATATTGCTTGGATGACACTGCTGAAGCTCACCAAATTGTGATACGAGTATTTGCTATATCCACCATATTCTCCTGATCTATCGCCCACTGACTACAATTTTTCAAAAATCTTGAGGGTTTTTAAGCTAAAAGATATTCCGTTAATTCTTGGCGGCCAAACCTTTAAAGTTTTGTCGTAATGGCAGAAATAACTTTGTGAATCGATCGCAAAACCTTATAGATATCCAGGGTATTTATTTTGACTTATATAAACACTATTTAAATACATTAACTCGGTAATAAAATTGAATTCTAATGTCGGACATTATTTTCCGAACAAACTGATAGGAAAATAGCAATGCAATTAAAAATGCTAAAAAGAAACTGAATGCATAACGGGATGGGATTGAAAAGTCGGTTTCGTTATATTCACCCACGCGCAAATAACTATTGGAAATACATGGATTTATCTCTTTTCCCCACTATCTATGGATTAATTAGTAGGATTAGTTTGAGTAAATCATTACTATCTCCAAAAAATTCTTCCAGAATTAAAAAAGAATTATTTTGTTTTTAAATAACCTGCAAAAGGTTGATAAAGCGTAAATGGCAAATCGATCAATCGATTTCCTTCCGCTCTTTTTTTTCTTCTATACTCCCCCCTTTTTGACATTTTTTCTCTTTTCTCTTTCCCACTTCTTTCTTTCTTTTCTTTCTTTTCTTTTCTCTCTCTCTCTCTCTCTCTTTTACTTAAACTCTCCTTTCCTTTTTATAATTTATTTCTCGTCACTGTTTCTACCTCCCATTTTTCTTTCGTTTCTTCTGTCATTTTTACTCTTCTTTTTTCCTCCACTATTCTTTTTCTTCCATCCTTCATTACATCTTGCTTTTTTTTCTTTCTTTCTTTCTTTCTTTCTTTCTTTCTTTTTTTTTTCTTTTTTTTCTTTCTTTCTTTCTTTCTTGCTTTCTTTCTTTCTTTCTTTCTTTTTTTCTTTCTTTTTTCTTTCTTGCTTTCTTTCTTTCTTTCTTTCTTGCTTCCTTTTTTCTTTCTTTCTTTCTTTCTTTCTTTCTTGCTTTCTTTCTTTCTTTTTTCTTTCTTTCTTGCTTTTTTTTCTTTTTTTTCTTTCTTGCTTTCTTTCTTTCTTTCTTTCTTTCTTTCTTTGCTTCCTTTTTTTTTTTTCTTTCTTTGCTTTTTTTTCTTTCTTTTTTCTTTCTTGCTTTCTTTCTTTCTTCCTTTCTTTCTTTCTTTCTTTCTTTCTTTCTTTCTTTCTTTCTTTTTTTCTTTCTTTCTTGCTTTTTTCTTTCTTTCTTTCTTGCTTTCTTTCTTGCTTCCTTTCTTTCTTTCTTTCTTTCTTGCTTTTTTTCTTGCTTCCTTTCTTGCTTTCTTTCTTTCTTTCTTTCTTGCTTTCTTTCTTATTTGCTTGCTTTTTTTCTTTCTTGCTTTCTTTCTTTCTTTCTATCAATTTTAATGTCTCTCAGCCTGTTCTACTTAAATTCTTATTTCTATTCATATTATTTCTTCATTATTTTTCCACTTCTTTTCCTGCATACCACCCTCCTTTCCGTTTGTCTTTCTTTTCTTCCGTCTTTTTTTACTCGTCTGTTTTTCTTTTTTCCGCCATTCTTCTTTTGCTTCTTCATTTTATTTCATCTTTCCTATTTTTTCCTTTCTCTTTTTACTTTCATACAAATCTTAGCTTCTACTTATTTTCTTTTCTTCTCTGCTGCCTTCATTCATTCTCTCTTTCTCGCCTCATTTTATCTGTTGTCCTTCCTTCCTTTCACTCTTGAATCTTTTTTTTATATACTTTTTCAGTCTACCCCCTCCCACTACTTTCTAGACATTTTCTCTCTCATTTCCCCCTCATAATGTCCTTTATTCTGACGAATAAAAGTATTTTGTTCAAAATAAAAACGTTTACATCTGAAACCTTCATCCATACGTAGAGAACGGAAACCTTTACTAATTGAGTGAGAAAATTTATTGTTTAAACAAGTCTAAATTAAAACCTTTTATCCAGTTACATTAATGATATCCTTGAGTGCCTCAGTAAGCTACAAAATTAATCTTTTGACCTTCTGACTTGAATCCTCACTGGAGCACACACCAAGGTTGCTTTGCGCCAGGCAATGCTAAAATATGTTTTGTAGAACGATAGCATCCTTGTTAATTCAGTTAATTCGACTCCACTCCGTTGTATGCCACCTAATCTAAGAAGATAATACTATCATTGCTTATCTAAGCAGATAAGCAATAATAGTATCATTGTCTTCTTTTGCAAACCGGCATTTGACATTTTCGCTCCATATTATTGTAAAACATCCATTTTTCAACGATTGCAAATGCCATTTTAAGTATGGCAGATGGAAATGCGGCTCATTAGATTTTCTTTTCCGATTAATACGTGAGACAGCCAAATGTAGTGGCTCATGCATCCAAGTGTTTTCAAATGCCTTCAAAGATAGAATATTTGGTGTACCTCTGCGATGTCCCATGTAGTTTGAGCGGGATTATTTTTAATCGGTGTTTCGATTTTGTCAAAACTAACGGCTGCAAACCTACTGGAATGTTCTTGATCGTCCAGATCAACATTTTCACTTCCGAACCTTGCGAACCACTTAAGGACAATGCTCCTAGCTATTGTACTATCTCCATAAACGGCACTTATTTTTTTGCTGTTTTTACAGCATTATTTTGTATTTAACTTTTCATAGATAAAAGAACATCAAATGACGGCATGCATTTCATTTTGTTTTAATTTCACTTTTAATTATAAAATATTTGAAATTCATAATTCACGCACGAATCACATAAAAAGAGGCTTTGAAATGTCAGCTTTCAGACTATGTATATATGTTCTAATTCCCCGTATTTTCTTATGTATAATATAGGTTCAGTGTAATTGCTGTAGTGAACGAAAATTTGTCTTCCTCTGTATGAGTTCGAATCGTCGTCGCCAAGTGTTGTAGAGTAGTTTCACAGTGGAGGCTTATATTTGTACTAAATCGGTCCTAAAATAGGTTCGACGTACAAAACGTAATAAACGATATAATAGGTAATAACGCAGTATCCGACTATCGGTCGTCCGGCATCGACTGACTGAACAACTCCTGAGCAACTACTACTACTCCTATTTATTATAAGTGGGAGAGTCTATTAACTATAGAATAGGCGTGTTACACTATAACAGTAATAGGACATGAATATATACGATCGCTGTTTCTGAAAGTAAAAACAAGAAGTAAATTACATCCTTGAGATTAACACGACCCCGCAATAAAGCCATCCCTATGTAATTTCTTTTAAAACTGTACTATAATACCCATTAAAATCACACTGTCGTACATATATTTCAATAAAATATTGAATTTTCCATGATATTCAGTTAGTTGTGTACCATGCGTAATAGACGCGTCGGCGATCATGTATCTTTCGATTCATGACTGATGAACAGTCTTTTGATGCTTTGGTTATTCTGTAGTTGATAATTTAGGCAACACTTTTGCAATAAAATGGTGGTTTGTAAATTGATTTCTTTGTTTTTTACTGAACGCATAAAGTATTAAATCTCTTTATCTTTGTTCAAATCTCTGCCTGCAATAAAGTATCTACATTTTCTTAAATACATTTTCTTAAATTGTAAAGTAATGTATTTTTCAGATAAAATTACTTCTGTGCAAAATTGAGTTAAAATTTCCTTGTTCTAAAACCAGGAAAAGTCACCATTGCAGCCGTTCAACCTGTTATCTGCCATGCATGATACACGCTTAGGCGATCATGTGTTTTTAGATACATGACTGACGAGGCAGATTTTTTTTTCCACAGTAGGTTGCCATTTCTTTCTGCGGTAGACCAGTTGCCTTCCAAGGCTATAGAACCCGGTCTGTCCTGCTGTTTTCCCATAACTGGTAGGAGGAGAAGAAGAGGATTCACACCTTTCCCAACGGTATTAGCACGTAAGTGAATGTAATGGATCCGCCTTGACTTCAAAGGGGAATACGAGCCGCTATCCATTACTCCACCGTGTCTCCTCCATTATATTAAAGAATAGAAATGAATCGGATATTTAGGCATTGCCTGTTTCTTCCGCTATTTTCCGTTTCAAAATTTATTTTCGAATTTTCAGGGAGAGGTGCTTTGATGTAAAATTAATGTCATCAAAACCAACTTTGATCTTCAAAAAATGAAATGCAGTGTCAATCGTTATCTACTGTCTTCATAATTGCCCTTCTTTTATTGTTCTCACTCATGTTTCTCGTTTGTTTGTTGTTTTTTTGTTTCACACTCAATAACACCTTATGTTTTAGTGGTGTTAAAGCTTTGCGTGAGGTGAAATAATTAAAAATACAAAAAACATGACGGATTTTGTGTATTCGTTTTATTATTTTTTTTTTTAATCAATTTCGGTGAATGTCCTATCTTTGAGATAAAATTTGTCCAATTACACCAATTCCAAAAGAAGAAATATTTCCGATATGCCAATATGCCTTTTGGAAACAACTGTTACCAACACCTGCCAACATTGTGTTTTCCTATCTAGTGTGCTGACTGAGCGTATTTGCAGTTTAGCTGTTTCAAATAAGAGTTGTTTTTTAAGTTAAACATTTCTGAGAACGTGTACTTGTGTATGATACGAAACTACTTTTTTGCCTTTAATTTCCGTTTAAAATTTCTCGTATTAGGCAAAACAAAAATATGGTACGTGCGTAATTTAATCCGATGTTGAAACGCTAACTACTGAAAAACGCTGTGAACTTTTTTGATTCAACCTAATATGGTTTTAGAAACAATGAAGTCCATGGAATCGGTAAGGTCTCTGAAATAGCGTAATTAGCTCATTGTATAAATGACGTCGAAGACCTACAATCAATCAGCTGCGTCTACAACAAGGTTTATAATATTTAATGTGATGGACTTAGCGTGTATTAGATTTCTTTCTTTGCATCATTCCCCTTATCTTTCTTTTTCTTTTTTCCCTTTACGGCCTTATCACGTTGAGATACCGGTTCTCACCGAAGTTAAGCAACGTCGAGCCTGCTCGGTAGCTAGATGGATGACTGCTTGTGAATACCAGGTGTTGTGAGCCTGGATATTCATGAATGAGAAATCGTAGGGCCGAGTTCGAATTCCAGTCGGGTTCATTACATTCACTTACGCACAAATACCCTGGCGAAAGGTATGAATGCACCTCTTCTCCCCATCAATGGGTTAAATAGTAAAACTTTTACGTGGAGATTATTATCATCTCTAAAATATGGTTAATATAATATTAACAAGCGAAAACGAAAGTATTATTCTGACAATCCAAAAATATTCATTGGCTTTAAGTAACCCCACCCAAAAGGTTGATAAGCCGTAAAAAACGAGTATTTTAAATCGATTTTTCTCCATATCTCCGTTTCTAACATCTTTCTTTTTTGGCTTTTTATATATATTTTTTTCATTCGTCTCTCTTTTGATATATGGTGTTTCTCTCTTTTACCGATTTGCCGTTTTTTTTCTTTTTTTTTTTATTAGGTTGGTGCAAAAATAATGACGTAAGAATGTCCTTTTTTTGACGTATTTTTTAACGTCAAAAAACGACATTCTTACGTCATTATTTTTGCACCAACCTAATACTTCAATTTTGCCTTCTATTTTTGCCTTTCACCTTTTATCGCTTAGTCTCTCTTTTTCTTTTTCTTTTTCTTTTCCCTTTCCTTCACTCTTTTTTTCATTTTTATTTTATATTTACTCTCATCCATAATTCTCATCTTTTTTTCACAATTTCTGTTTTTATTTCTCTGAGTGTGTCACGTCAATGTTCCGTTTTTCATTTTAACACCCTACATCAGGCATGGAAAACCTTTTGAGAGCAGTGGGCCACATGATCTATGGCTCACCACAAGGCGAGCCGAACCACCAAAAAGATTTAAAGTAATTTTTCGTATCAGGTACCTCAGCTATTTTCACTACAGAAAACCATATGCGCAAGCATATACCTTAGAAATGGCGGGAATTGTTTATTTTTTAGAAAATATTGTTTTATAACTAAAAAATTGAAGTATTGGTATAATATAATCACTTATCACATATCGCTGCGTGGGATATATTTCTAATTTATTCATTTGAAAATGAAAGCATTTCTTCTGTATAGAAAAGAATTCTTATAAACGTTTCCTGTTTCAAAAGCAAAAGATGTTTACACGTATGATCTCCCTTAGTGAAAAGTGCCAATGGTTTAAAATACTGACAACATTAGTTTCCTGAAAGTTTACAAATATCAAGAAACATTGTACTTAATCATTGTTTATGTATGTAGTTATGTATGAGAGAGTGTGTGAGTGAACAAGTGAGAACGAAACAAAATAAAATTTTAAGAAACGTTATTTTGAATATGAAATTAAGCGTTCCATTCAGAAAAGCCAAAAGAGCCGCAGTTTGTCCGTAAATTATCTACATTATTCACAGCAACATTATTACTCTCTAATATTATCTCTCTCCTCCCTTTGTCTATATCTAAAGTTTTCTCCCACGTCGCTGGTATACCCACCTCTCTCTCTCTCTCTCTCTCTCTCTCTCTCTCTCTCTCTCTCTCTCTCTCATTTAATAACTTGTGGTTTCTTTTTGTTGTCTTTCACTCAGCTAAACTTCCCTTTCATTTTCTCTCATTCTTTCGTTATCTAACTTTCGGTTTATCTACTTTTTCTTTCGCTATCACTTTCTTTCTATCAATTTCTTTCTTTGTTTTACACTGTGGTTTTCTTTTTTCCACCGCACTCCGGAAGTAATTCAAGTTTTTTTTTCTTAATTTTGTTTTAAAGTATCTATCTCTTTGTATTCATACACGTTTTGGCCTCTCAAGCCTCCCGTTTCTTCTTCTTCTTCTTCTTCTTCTTCTTTGTAACTATAGCTCGGCTGTCAATCTAAGGTGTTGAGTTAACTGATTGGCTCGTAAAACGAAACGATATATTCTCAATAGCCTACAATTCCACTGCCCTTTGAACCCCCCACCCCCGCCCCGGAGGAAATACTGGTTGAACACACAACTGTTTTAACCGACTAACCTACGAGAACTCACCGGATTTCTCGAAGATCAAATCCTAATCTTAAACTCATCGCTCTATCCCATCTATCTATCTATTACATCTTCTGCTAGGCTTTTTCTTCCTCTTCTAGGCTCCCCTTCTTCTTCTTCTTCTTCTTCTTCTTCTTCTTCTTCTTCTTCCTCCTCCTCCTCCTCCTCCTTCTCCTCCTAGGCTCATTCATCCTTTTCTTTATTTTCTATTCTTCTTCTTCTTCTTCTTCTTCTTCTTCTTCTTCTTCTTCTTCCAGCATGCTTTCTCTTCAAAGTTTCTATTTTCTCTTCTTCCTCATGGCTTCATTTTCTTCTATGTTTCTATTTTTTTCGAGGATATTTTTTTTTCTTTTTTTTTATTATTTAAGGCTTCTTTATCTTGCTCTTCTAAGCGTCTTCTTCTTTTTCTTCCTCATGGCTTCATCGTCTTCTTCTAGGGATTCCTCTTATCATCATCTCCATCATCATCTTCTAGGCTTCCTTAGTCGCTCATTTTTATTATCTTCTTTGAATTCTGTTTCATCATCATCATCATCATCATCGGCGTCTTTTGATGTTGACTTTTCCTTTCTTTTTTTCCTTTTCTTCTTTTACTTCTTCGCTTACTGTTTCTTTTTACCTTTTCTTCCCCCTTTTCTCCTTTTCCCTCTCTCAAAGTTTTACTCTTTTTACTTATAGTCATCTTATCTCTTTCTCCTCTTTTCTTGTCGTTTTAACACAGATTCACATCCACATCAGTAGAGTTTTATAACAAGTCCGAATTAACTTTTTGCCCAGATACTCAGTTTTCCTTACTCACAGAAGTCTCAAAATATCACAGTTAATTTACACTTCTTTTAAAGCATAGGGGATCATAGCTCTCCAAACGTTCCTTCTATTGTTGCTCAAAAGATGTTTTCATCCATTACCATCCATCTTTGTCCTTATTCTACCATCTACTGACCATTTGACTTACCATCTATATACTCAATCTCTTTAAGTACCTTACTGCTTCTCTTCTCTTCTATATAGTCTGTGAGTTTTAAATTCTGCAGCCCTCTTCCTTTATTTGTTCCCAGCATTTAATTTGACTCCTTTTGATTGTAAGTGTACACTTTCTTGTAATTCCTGTTTTTGTTAAGTCTTCCCTGTTGCTCACATTTTCTGTCTATCATTCTTGTCGGTAGAACCAATCTCTATCGCTTCAAGTGTCTTCTTCTTCTGAGAGGAAATTGTTTTGCATCCATTACCATGTAGGAGATTAATTATACATAACCTATGCATTTCAAATATCATGGATATAGATGCAGACACTGTATAAACACTTTAAGAAAACATTTGATTTTTGAGAAAAAATGTTGGGTTATTAGAAAAATGGTTTATAGAACTTGCAATTGTTTTATGGATCGTTAGAAAAATAAATTTCGTTTGGTTTTGGTTCGTTTTAGTTTACGACATATCAACCACAATGGCTTATTTAATGCCGACAACATTTTTAGGATAGATTCGTATGAATAGAATATGTATTCTTTGGTTTAGATTGGTTTAGTTTATATTGTTTTACGGCATATTAACCTCAATGGCTTATTTAATGCCGACAACATTTTTAGGATAGATTCATATGAATAGAATATGTTTTCTTTGGTTTAGATTGGTTTGGTTTATTTTGTTTTACGGCATATCAGCTTCAATGGGTTATTTATTGCCGACAAATTTTACATTATTGGTAATATTTTTTTCAAAAATCTATTTCTGGTAATATTTTTTCCTTCAAAAATCTATTTATGGTAATAATTTCTCTTCGCTTGTAATATTTTTTTTCAAAAATTTATTGCTGGTTATAATTTTTTATACAAAGTATTTCTGGTATTAAAACTTATTTTTACATTTTCATAATCTTTTGATCCTAGTTTGGGGTTTAACTATTTGCCCATAGCTGGGTCTCTAACAGCTGCTACCACCACAGGTCAGAATGGACCTGGGAACACCAGCAGTTAAGAGGTGTTTCCACACTCTACAAAACTTCCTGATCAGAGGCCTTGCTGTCAGACGTAGTTTATCGTCTTACCCAAGACGGAAAAATAAATCCGAATAAAACCTTTTGACTGAACCTGTATCGAACTAAAAAAAAAACGTCCAGCCTGTTTATTCTTACAATTTTAATTTTTCCATTTTGGTGTAATTACTTTGAGTTTTGAATTCCTCTTTGTCTTTTCGATTTGTCTGCATCTTTTTTTTACCCGCCTGCTTCTTATCGCTTGTTCCTTCTTGTTAGAATCCTTTTTCAGGGACCAGTTAGCCCAAACGACAATAAAACGCACGAGTTCATGACAAATAAATTCAGAAAAAATAATATAAAAACCAACACAAATAAATCAATCAATAAATGAAGAATTATGGGAAAAAAAAGTAATCTTTTCGTCCAGTCCATAAACATTTCTTTCCACCATTTATCGGATGTCATAATGCAAAACGCCAAAATCTAACGCAAAAACTCTTTAAAAATAATCAATCTGAACATTTTTAAAAGCTTCAATTTTCTATAGAGTAACCTCTCACTCCAGGCAAGTCTCAAACGTCAAGAGATTCAAAATGCATCAATTTATTACAAATTATCAATGTCTAAAACCTGAAAATTAAAAAATAATTATTTTTTCTTCAATTCTTTCGAATTGGATAGAGCGTGTCATACTCAATTTTATTTTAAAAATCACAAATTCATTCGAGTTGTATTACGGTTTTATTAATTATATTTTAAATGTGTATTTCTTGCGAATTTTAAGTTCAATTTTACCCGCTTTTTGCATTATCCCGGAAAAGAAATAAATCTATTTAACAGGATTTTTTCTACTGCGCATTCAACCAATGAATAGCAAGAACCGAAAAACCATTAACCTCTAGGGAACCAATTAAATATCTGTACCACATTCATATAATGATCGTCATTAACCAATCACTGATTTAAGCAAAATTATTTAAATCTTTTCTTTTTCTTTCTTCATCGACAAAAAGCAAGGAGTTGGGCAATGCCGATAAACTCTAATTGGGTTGTCGATTCAAAAGACCATTTATGATATTTTTTATCCATCCATCAAGGTTGCTGTAAAAAAAAATGTCTTAAAATCCGAAGGGTTGATAAGCCGTAAAAACTAATTAATAAAGGAATGTTCCATGAAGATGATCGATTTTTTTTCATTTCGCATATCCAAAAGAAAGTGGAATATGATCTGATAATATGAAGTGTGGGATTTTTAATTGATTAAAAGATTTCTTTTTTTACGGGTTATCAACACTTTGTGGCTTAATTAAAGCCAAAATATATTTTGGGGGATTGTACAAATAATTTTTAATGAATGAATATAGCATTAGTACTGTGTTTTGGAGATGAAAATATTTTTTTCTAGATACAAATCCTATATTTAACCCAGAGCTGGAGGAGAAGAGATGGATTCTTACCATTCCCAAGGGTATTTGCACATAAGTGAATATAACGAATTCAACTGGAATTCGAACGTGCCCCTCCAATTTTTCATTCCGAGCCTCTATCCATTTCACCACCTGCATATCCAGTAAATATCCGAGAAGGCAGATTGACGAAAAGCCTTTAAATTACACACGTTAGATGTGTGTCAGTTGTGCTATAGGAGGACGAGTTGGCGTGGATTATAAATGCAATGTCAGTGGCCATCTTTTATCTTTCTGAACCTCTGTTCCTTTAGTGCCCTTTACTCACTTCTGTTCCCTAAAGTATTCTCATTCACTTTCACTCCCTGTAACCCGCCCTGCGTCTTACTTGCGATGAAATGATTTTAAAATAAGAAGCTAAAAGCTGCTTTTCCACCAGCCGAAAATGTTTTCTTGCAAGAATAAATGGCACAAAGCAATGGGTCTGTCTTGGCCGTATTTATGTTGCCGAGTATTTGTCAATGATTTGTTTTTTTTTGTATTGAATTTCATGCAGCTTATCAGCATCTTCCGTATACTTTTTATGGGTTCGTGGTCACGTCTTTCCAAGAGTCATTTTAGAATATTCATTTTGTTTGACAGCAATCGTGAAGGGAGATTTTGGTCATGTATAACAATCTTTTCTATTTTGCAGTGTTGCATTGTCAAGGCGTCATATATGGGCTGAACTGTTGCTTGGCAAACTATGCTCGTTATTCCTTCGTGGTTCGTATCGACTGTCATCTGGCCAATACACCTAAGTCGCACCCTCTCAATGTCTCACTAAATCTACCATTCGTCCGTGCATTGATTACTGATGCCATATCGCGAGACTCTTGACAAAATTCAAAGAATGTCTGTAATCTAATCGATCCTGTTCAGGATCTCGACGTTTGTCACATTCTCACTAATGACCTTCTTTCCCTACTAGATTGGCAATTAGGTCTCACTGTTTCACTTTCAACACGCTATTCACTTACGTGCTAATACCCTTGGGAAAGTTACGAATGCTCTTCTTCTCCCTCCAGCTATGGGGAAATAGCAGGGAAGACCGGGTTCTATAGCCTTGGATAGCAACTGGTCTACCGCAGAAAGAAATGGCAACCTACTGTGGGAGAAGATCTGCCTCGCCAGTCATGTATCAAAAGATACGTGATAGCCTAAGCGTGTATCACGCATGGCACATAACTGAGATGCAACTACCACTTCTATTTTATCAGTTTCTTTTCTCGAACTTCTCACCCTTCTGATTTCTCGCTTCCCTGATAACTACAATCTTCAAAAAAATAAATGCAACTTCAATCGCCATCTTCTGTCTTTCTGAACACCTGTTGCTCTTTTGCCCTTTACTCAACCCTCCTCACTAAAGTCATCTCATTCTCTTTCCCTACCTGTAAACACCTGCGTCTTGGTGACATTGATGTCTTGCTTGGCGTTAAACGATAAAAAATAATGAATAAGTTCAAAAGAATTAATTGCGAAAGTTATTTAATTACAGTAAAATTAATGAATGATTATTTTGGAATTGTCTTGGTTTGAACACGTGAATTAAAAGGATTGAAACAGAACAAATTCATCCTTCATTCGCTTTCGCCGTTGGAAAGATTGTGATAAACCAGTTAACCTTAAATTCGCCCGAATCTTGGCCCAAATTCAAAATTGGTACTTCTTTTTTCTTAAATACTAATCGAACCTTTTACCTTGATTCACTTGTGGGATCAAGAATTTGACTGATTCCATTAATGAGGAAATCGTTGGAGAGTTGTGAAGTCATCAAAACTTTGGTTGCTAAGCCCAGATACAAATTAACTTATCAGTTGATTATCAGATACCAGTACCAAATAAAAACGCGTGCCAGAGACAGACAGACAGACTGACAGACAGACGGAGACAGAGTCGATTGGCCATCACCCAAATGTCAGCCCCTCTTCCTTCAAAGATGGAGAATCTCCTTTCTGCTGATGCAATCGAAATAACCATTCACTCATCTAAAAGCTTCTCGGCTTGATGGTCGAACTCTCTGCTTTTGAGCAGAAAGGAACCCGGAAGGGCAGAATCTCGCTCGGGGAAAATGACCAACCCGATCTCGTTTATACGGGTTATACGGGCATTTTTTGGCCGAGCCTACGGGCTTGGGAAACCCACGATAAACTCGGCCTTGTGCCACATGCAACCCTCGGTGGGGGGGTGCTAGATACCGATTCACTCATCTAAAACCATTTTACTCCCCACGCTTAGGAAGAATTCAAGAGGAT